AACAAGAAAATGCAAAGATTGCTAAAAAAAATCTTTGGGTAAAAATGTAGATTAGGGGAGCCTTCTCCAATGACCTTGACCTTGACATATGTTGTCAAGGTCATGATTTTACAATATCAAGTAATAGTCTCATAATCGTTATATAACGAATGGAACACACAATGAAAATCCGAGTTTTAGAGTGACCAAGTCAATCTCCTGACTTAAATCCTATAGAACATTTATGGCAAGAGTTAAAACTAAGAATAGGGACTGAAAATTGTCCCAACAAAACTGCTTTGTGGGAAAAAGTTCAAAAAGAGTGGAAAGATATCTCTCAAGACAGAATTTTTTATGTTCAGTAAGCAATTATTAACATCTTTTCTTTGTTGAATTATTGTTTTCGCATATATAGTGTATACTGCAGAATATTGCGATAGAACCAAGGTTCTAGAATATTGCGACCCGGGCACGCCAAGTTTTTTCTTTACTATAATCCAGTTGACAATTATAGTCACTTTTGGTCTGTCTTATGTGACTGGCGTAATGAAGAATACACTTGGTCAATTATATTTATCTCATACCTGTTTTTGATCAAGAAGTTCAGTATCTTTTATATGCACTTGGCGTATGTTTTTTTCTTTTTTTAAAAAAAGATTTTTATGGGTATACGTTATTTATATATTCGGAGCAAAATGGTATCTCGCAACTGGTTGAAGTTACAAGAAAGTTTAATAAGAGAAATTTGTACGACTACGAGTTAGCTCCAAAGTGCATGCAAAAAATTTTTTTTATACTCGTTACTTTTTCGAGTTATATAGGTTAACATAGTTTTTTTAAATGGATACCTATAATTTTTTTGCATATTCGTATAATAGGGAGCATTTGCAATCAAAATCATATCTAGTAAAAAATTGCTGCTATGCATCGTTTACGAGATAATCGACATCTTAGATATAGAATCTTAAGAAGTTGATTCTCCATATCAAAATTTGAAAAACAAAATTCAAACTAATATTTCGAAATCGGTTATGTCGAAGGATCACTGACCTTCAACTCAGAATACGCAACTGCTTGTTTTGAAAATAAAGTATTTGTATAACATGGAGTAGGATATAGTACAGTATTTGTTAGTCAGTCAGTCGTCATTTCAATGAATACATATCATATTGTAGATTTACAAAAATAACGATGTTTAGTATTAGTGACAAGTGTGATATGCTCGAAATGTACCATTTAAGTATGGGTAATGAAAATGAAGCTCAGCTACTTTATCAAAAGTATCCAGAACGAAGGGTACCAAATGGTCGTACATTTCGGCCACTGGCTTCGAGTTAATTATCGCAATAATATTGATTTTCTTAAAAAAATATGATGGTCTGAAGAATCGTTCTATAAAAAAACATTGTTTCCTTCATCAACCTCTCTTTGACATTTTAAATCCCGTTCAAAATTATTTAGAATCCAATTTACTACTTTGATACATAAGATGTCGATTATTTCGTAAACGATACATAGCAACATTTTTTTACTAGATATAATTTTGATTGCAAATGCTCCCTACTATACGAATATGCAAAAAAAATTATAGGTATCCATTTAAAAAAACTATGTTAACCTATATAACTCGAAAAAGCAACAAGTATAAAAAAATTTTTTACATGCACTTTGTAGCTGACTCGGAGTCGTACAAATTTCTCTTATCAAACTTTCTTGTAACTTCAACCAGTTACGAGATATTTGCTCCGATACTTATGGACGAACATCCTGTAGATGTAAAAACAGTAATAATTTAAAATAAATCAATAAATGCTATTTAAGAAAAATTAGTTTCTTGCTAAATTATTATATTATGTTTAATATTGAAACTACCGACAATTAATTACTATTATTTAAAATATACTACATATTTTTTTAAAAGAGAAAAGACAGAAAAAAGTAAAACCTATTAAATTAATCATCATTTACATATTATAACAACACTGAGAAAAATGTCTGGTTGAATTAATTAAAAAAAAAATTTTGATAGAATCACAATTTTTTTATTAAAATATAATAAATTATTAATTATATAGACTCGTGAGATAAAAATCAAAGAAGAAATAATAATGCCTAGTCGAGTCAATGCACTGGATGTCGGTGTGAAATAGAAAAAAGTTTATTGTAGATATGTACATACGTTTCGATCCTTATTTTTGGATCCTTATCAAAGTGAATGTTCATTTAATACATTTCGATGTGCTACCTAGAACAATGAAATGAAATTAAATGAATGGAGAGACATATATTGATATGTTGATTGTACAAGAGTTAAAGTGATAATGTTAAAGTGATAAGAAATTAAAACTTCCAGTAGTAGTAGTAGTAGTAATAAGGAATTTTTTTGTTCTATAGACAAAAAAACTGAAATTAGTGCGACACCAGTCATTTAAAGATATATTGAAGTATATACATATTTTTCAGATTTAGAAAATAAATCTAAAAAAAATAGATTTCATTCTTCATTTGATACAATCTTCATTTGTATCTACACGTCAAATAATTTTTTTTTAATTATAACACATCATTGCCACTATCACCGCCAATAGAACGTTTCTTTATTTGTAGACAACAAATATTAATTCGTACGTAGAAATTGTTTATCAGACGAAATGTTCGAACTACTTTTGTTCTTAAAAAATAAAAACTTATAAAAATATGAAATCACATTTTTTGTATCCTAAATTGTTTACTACCTACTAGTTACTTAAAAATAAAATTATCTTAAAAATTATCTAGATAAAATTCTTTTAATTTTATGTTTTATCTAGATTCATGTAAATTAATCATCTTTATCTTATCTAATTGTAAGATACATTTTTGTGTGATTCATCTTATCTATATCTAGATAATTTTTAATTATCTAAGCGTAACACTTGTGTGTGTGTATATTTATATATATTTATTTATTTAATATACTTATGTACATTTGATTAATTATTTTGATTAATTTATATTCATTTTATATTTATCACTCAAGTCCGACGATACGTGCTCCTAATTCATTCAATGTTTGCGTTATTCTTTGAGAAGTTCGTTTAGCGATATCAGCGGGGATCTAAAAACATAAAATGTTTTGTAAATTACGATATTGTATATTTAAATAGATTATTGAAGACAATTTTTTTGCTTTTTAAACTTATTCTAATAAAATCAAATTTATTGTAATTAGATTTATTTTAATAAAATGATATGGTCTAATACACCCCATATGATCTACTCATTGTTTACACATAATTATACAAGAGAATATTAGTAAGTCATACAAGCTGTTTGTCTGACTCAACAACAATAATTTATTGCTCAATTTGTTTATTCTGTTATTGTTAATAAGACAAAATGCAGAATGTCGTCGTTATGATGTAATATTTCGTAAACTGGGAAAAAATTGTTCTTTCGACTAAATTAATTATTATATTCGACTAAATTAATTTATAGTTGTTTTAATTTATTTTGTTGCAAAATGTACTTATTTAAATGAAATATAACATATGTTGGACTTAAACACATACATTCTTTATTGAAAGTAATTTGGATGATTATAATAAATTAATTTAATCAAATGAATAATTTTTTTCCTTACAATTAATATAGAATACACTATAGATATAGAATAATTTCCTTTCTACAACTACAAAAAGATGATATTAATTTTCGTAGTTTATATTATTGTAGCTCTCTATACATATATTTCTACTTTACGACACTGTATTTAGTTTATATTTGTATCGCAATATTTTTATTTATTATCAAAGAGAATTTATGAGGTATAGAAATAATATAGCCAACTGCTGATTATATATAAATTGATTGTACTGGTTTTTGTTATTATTTTTGTTATTTCAAATAATGAATTTTAATTTATCTGCTAAACATCGTGGAGATAAGTAAATATATAAGTCAATCATTTATACACACACACACACACATCAATATGTTAATAACTCTATAATCTCATAAAACTAATATTAGATCACTTTATTTTCTATTTCTTTAACATTTCTTTAATATTTTGTAATAAAAAAAGGAAAGACATATTAAAATTTAGGCTATAATAGATACACATATATGTATAATATAATATAAATGCTGCTAATTCTTTATGTCTTTATTACACACTTATGTAAATATTTAAAAATATCTTTTTTTTTTAACGTTTAGAAATATTTTTTCTGATTATCAATATTGAATTTTGTATTCAGCAAAAAATTAGAAAAAAATGTTTAGATAAGATCTATTAATCTTATTCACTGTATTAATATATTTATCGTTGTTCAATGTACTTACCTCCACTAAAGTATTCAAAAAATTACTAAAATTCTCGTAACCGTTAACAAAAGCCCTTCCGATTCCAATAAATTTATCTCCTCTATTACCATATTTTTCTTCATCCTTAATTCGATCAACGAGTGGCTTTGGTGTTAATAAACTATCCAAAAGTTGCCTGATATTGTCAGGTTTTCGTCTTTCTAAAATAGCTTGGGCGGTTTCATTTTCTAAACGAATTCTTTCTTGCGGTATCGGATTAACTAATACTATTGGTGTTGTATTTTGTACAGGTAGTACAGATCTGCGATTTTGAGATTTGTTAGATTTAATTGAAGGCTCAAGATTATTTCGAAATTTGCTGTTTATTTGCTGTAAAAAAAGAAAATTTGTCAGTATGTTAATAATTGTTAAAAGTTACTTAAATAAAAAGATATTGGCGAAAGTCAATAAAATAACTAACGAAAATAGAAATAAAATGCAAAGGAAATAATAACAAATGTTTTACATTGTTCAGTTAACATAGCAATGCTATAATATTTTGATATCGTTCGTTTACAATTGGATTTTTAAATCTTTTAAAAGTTATTCCATATTATCGATTAAAAAATATCGAATTAATACTAACTAGAACAATGTGACTTTTTATAAAACGCAATGAAGATATCATGTACGGGTCTCTGCAAATATTATATTTTATCAGAAATAAATTGTCTTTGCATACTAGTAAATGTTACAGTAATTACCTCTGCTCGATTAATAATGGTGTTTCTAGCCAATATTATCAAATTGACAAATCTTCCTCTGCCAATTCTAATAGCATCACTGATACGTTCTAATAATTCCTATGAAATAGCAATTTTGACTTCGCCTGCCGATTACAGTGGCGAATCACGAGAATCTAATTCGAATTTTGGATACAGCCAAGGAACAATCTTTTACGTAGATTTTTAGATCAATTCAGACTTATGACTTTTTATTTTATTATTTTTAGAAATAGGACTATTCAATACGTTTTGTTACTGATATTTTCCAAAGATTATATTTCCATTTATTTTCGCAAATTTTGTAAGCACAAAATTTTACCTTTGTTACTTCCAGTTTTGAGGGTATGACGTTTTCAGTATTATTTTGTAAGTTGCCAAGAGTGAATTTTGTCGGTTCCTCCAAAGGATGAGCACTCAGTAAATCCAACGAATAGATTATTGATGAAATCATTAAAATTCGCAGCATGGTTTCCTTTAGTGTAATGTATAAAAAAGTTCTTAAAATTATATTTTTTAACCGTAGAGAAGTTTTAAGATTTCAAACTCACACTTATAAAACTAAAATTAATCTAAATAATTAGGAAAATTAAGATAATTCTTTTCCGTTAATTAAATTAATTTACAACCTCTAAATGTACTTTAATTGCTCGTTACCTAAAAAATAAATAAAAGAAAATATTTAATGATATATACGTATATTAAGGAAGGGCTGGAAAATGAAAACACATAAAATTAAAGGATGTTATACTAAATTTAACTTGCATAAATTAATTTATTCTAAAGAATTAACACTATAAATATCTGCAGAAACTTGCCACTAACTGTCCACAAGCGATCCACGTCGTTGACTAACATGATTTCGCTCTCGATGGTAACGAACATACCTTGTGGTTTACGACATTGTATCACTTTCTCTTTCAGTAAGTTTCCATATAGAAATCAGGTGTGTACCAATCAGTAGAATACAAATGCAAAATTAAAATGAAAAATTTATGAGATTATTTATTGTGAAAGTATAATACAAATTTATTTTTAACAAATAGATACAAATAAATTGCCAAAAAATTATTTATTACATTATACATATATTTATTAATATTAGTTATTATAATACAATATACGTTGTAGTTCAAACGAAAATAAAAAGTAAGTATTTTTTTTATACTATATGCATATTTCTATTTTTAGGAGGTAAAACACCCACATTTAAAGAAAATTAGTTATTTTCCCTCTCTTTTAAAATGAATATTGCTGAAACTATAAAAAAATGGAAAAAAAATATAAGTAAAAGTTGAATAATTTAAGAAAACTTTATGTAATAATTAAAAAAAGTTTTTATTTTTAGCAAACAACAGTTTTTCATTATTATAAGGCACTTATGAAATCATTTAACATTTATAAAAATAATAAATGATAATAGGTTCTGTAAGAATAAAAACAAATTGGAAAAATAGAAAGCTAAGAGCCAGTTATAAAATAAAATACTTTAATTTAAAAACATAAATAAAAATAATAATAATAACAAACGTTTTGACGCCGATCGGATCATTCTCAATGTTATAGTAAATATATTATAATTGTAAAACTATTAAAAATATATATTTTGTAGATTTTTAATAGTTTTACAATTATAATGTATTTACTGAAACATTGAGAATGACCCGATCGACGTCGAAACGTTTGTTATTATTGCTATTTTTATTATGTTTTTAAAGTAAAGTGCTTTATTTTATAATTGGTTATTCGCCCTTCTATTTTTCAAACTTATATTTATAAATTTTTTTCATTTTTTATAATTTCGACGTATTCTCTTCAAAAACAAAACTATTCGATTGCGTGCTTCATCTTCTAAAAATGCGTAAGGGTATTCCTTATATGAGTTTAGACTATATGAATCTATAATATTGTAGATTAAAAGTTCATTAAAATTAGAGAGAGATACAATCCTGTGCTTCCTTATAAGGTGTAAAATTAAATTATTTGTAAGATGTAAAGTTAAAATATTTTTTAACATTTAAATAAAATATTTCTATCTTATAAAAAATAATACAATCTATTAGATAGATGTAAAGATAATAGTTAAAATAACGATAAAAGTAACAGTTAAATTCATAAAAATCTAACGACGTTACTGTTACTATTTAAACAGAAAAAAGTAACGATTATTACTGAGAAAAAGTAATAATTGCAATAATGGCGTCATAAAAAAGTAACGTGTTATTTCTTGATCTTGATCTTTGATTACGACAACATTGTTGATTTATGAATAAAATTTATGAACATATACATACTTATATGAAACAAGTCGAATGACTAACTTTTCATTTTGTAAGAACGGTAATTGCGATTTGCACAATAATCAGAAGTTTTTAAAATTAATTATTTGCTTTTGTTGATATTTTAATTACTTATATAAACAACTTCTTACATAACAACTTCTGAATACATAAAATAGCTTTAATGTAAAATTTATAATTGTTTAACGTATTATATATTGATTAAAATTGGAAAATGATTTTTATTAATAGATATAAGGGACAGTTAATTGCCGAATACGTATAAGCACCACTTAAGCTATTTCTTTAATTTTCCGTTTGGTAACGGATTTGTACGCAATTGATTTGTTCATAAATAAGCATTAGAAATTGTAGTTTGATATTTTAAAGACTTGTTATTACATATTTAACTTTTTATTAATAACAAATGAATTTATTATAAGTCTTATTATGTAACATTTTGCAAAAAGTAATTGATCGTCTAAATCGTATATATAAATCTTTCAAATTATATTTCTTCTGAAAATATTAAATATTATTAATGAAAATAATTTAAAAATAAGATTAATAAAAGAAATTATTAATTGTTATGCAATAATTAACAAATACATAATTTTTATAATTTATTGAAAGAAAGATTAATTACACTAGTTTACAATAAAAAATTACTTCGGACCGGACTATCGTGTGTTTTATAGATTTTTAAATGCTGAAAGCTGAAAACAATGCCACAAGCAAAAAAATTCTAAAACGTCAAATTTCCAAGATAATTAAGGTTTAATACTTTAAGAAAATGTTTTTTTGCGATATATAACATTTTTGTTATAAAGATGGTTAACGTTATCTTGAAATTTCGATCAGAAATCATGAATGTATTATTCGTTCCCATAAATACATTTTTTAAATATTTCAATACTTTATTTTTTAGTCATGTTATGAGCGATTAAAGGAACTATTTCGAATATACTTAGGGACTTTGTCATATGTGTATGTGGATTAATTTCTTAAGGTTACATTTTGATAACCGTGCCTTGATACCTTTATATACAGAATGATAAGACTAATTCATTGAATGAAAATAATAATAATTTAAATAATAATATAATGAAATACACAGAGTTGCTTTAAAAAAAATACAATTTGTAATATGCAACTACATATCTTTTATAAAACAACTCTCTCTCTCTCTCTCTCTCTCTCTCTCTCTCTCTCTATGTGTGTGTATATGTGAGACGCTGCCGCAGTCTTTATATTCAAAATAGCTCTTCATGGCTAAAAAGGTATTAGAATAAAAAAAATGCATTTTATACGGGATGAACAATTCATGACTCCTGATTGGAATTTCAAGATAGGTTAACCTTTTTAAAAAAAATATCTATTATTGAAAAAAAAATTTTAAGTATTAAACTTCAATTATCTTAAAAATTTGACGTGTTAGAATTTTTTTGCTTGCGACAACATTTTCAGCATCAGAAATCTATCAGGCACACATAGTCCGGTCCAAAGTAATTGAAAAAAAAATTTGTTGTAACTAGTATTATTAACTTTTAGAGGACCGGCATTTTTGCCTTAAAATTTTGAATTTTTTAAATGTAAAATTCATGTACATATATATTGAATATTTATGTCACGAGAAGTCGACAAGTTTTCTGCTGGTCAGTCCGGTTCGCAACGGGACGGCTAATGTAGAAAATATAAAATAATATAAAAATAATGTTATTTACCTAGATAAGTCTAGATAAGCCGAATTGAATAATAGACATTTACGTACATATGAAACTTTCCTTTAGCATAATCCAGGACTAACGACGTGGACGTAGAAAGTTATGGAATTAAGTTAATGGAATTATCAAATTTTTCTCGGCAACACACACACACACACATTCTCAGTTATATGAAATAATAGAATATTTGATGAGCTGCGGTGATTCAAGTTATATAAACTTATGTTACTGGCCACTATATAGTGGCCAATCCGGTCCTCTAAAGGTTAAATAATAATATGAAAAGACAAAGATGTTGAAGTAAAATCGGGTTTAACTTATTTTTTCAATTGATCATAAATTATTAGTTTTATAAATGTTATTTATTAGTTTTGTCTTACGGTGGTACTGATTGAATTAATCTTTGTAATATTACAAATATGTACATGAAATACATATAAAATATTTTACAAAATCTTCTTTTAATCGATCAATAATTAATATCAAATATATTTAATTTTTTAATATGTTCTTAATACAGCAACCTAATGTACTAAAATTTTGTCTATATTATTTATTTCTTATTTATTTTATATTTTTGTTACTTAATATTGCTTATATTAAGTAATAATGTTACTTACGTTATAAGTTTAATAATATATAAAATATTGGTGAGATAATAATGTAAAATATTGATGAGAGATGATTTAGGCTACCAATACCCATTCGGCAACTTTCCCCTATATGTTATATCTTTTTAATTTTAAGATTTTTAAATTTTAACATGGTTACAATACTTTCAAATTGTAATAATACAGATTGTAATAAGTTTATAATTACATGAAATATTTAATTACAGTACATTGGTGTTAAGTGTAGAAGTTGCCTTTTTAGAAAAAAGAATTAATTTAATTCATCTGTGTATACAAAATTCTAAAAATCATTAAATTAGCTGTAAACCGTTTAAAATGCAAATATTTACCGTTTAAAAATTATAATTCACGTAAAATTTTGCCCTTTCTTTTATTCGTTACAAAAAAGATCTAATATTGGTATTTCACAGATGGTATTTCCTAGAAAGTTCAGCACATAGGAGACGATTTTTTTCAAAATACGAAGCTGTAACATTCAAAACAACATTTATTTACATAAAATTAATAATACTAAATAGTTTAGATTCAATTTTATTAATATGTATTATATTATAATATATGAGCACGATATATGTATATTTTATTTTATTTGCGTTTTAGCTCAAAATATTAATTATTAAAAATAGTACAATTGACGGTCAAGCAATGTGAAAAGGTGGCTCAATGATAAATAAACATAAATAGAAATGAGCATACAGCCACAACTCAAGATGTCATTTGCAAAAGTTATGTATTTAAAGAAGAGAATAGTAAACGTTTCAGTCAATTTTTGACCATCATCAGTACATAAAAGTTATTTGTATGCGTAATATACATAAAACAATAATAGCCGCTAGATGTTAAACAATAAAATCGTCAAAAATCACATAATATTAACGTCAGAAACTAAAAACAGTAAAATCGCAAAAATTAAAAGTGATTTAATCTTTGGCTGGCACCGTGGGATACTAGAAGCTCCAGCGTATTTCAACTCTAAATTAATATTAAAGTTGATTAATTAGCCCCTTATTATTAGAAAATGGAACTTATAGTGCTAACTGTTAAAATTAAATTTCACTAAAATAATTTTTGGCACTTGTTACAGTAACATTTTATAATAGGTCAAAACTAGACCAAAACATTTACTATCCTCTTTTTTAAATATATAACTTTTGCGAATGACATTTTGCGTATATAATTAAACAACTGTAAAAATTCATTTTGAGCAAATTTAAACAATTTTATAATATTGATTTTCATATTTGCGCTAAAAATATATGTATAAATTATTCTATATAAATCGTGATGTATTCTAAATACAATTTTGAAGTGAAAACTACACAGACAGCATATGGACGTTCTTTGGATATTTTGAGTATACGCTATATTTTGATCGTCAGAACGTTCGCTAGACGTTCGTTTATTACAATTTCGGGTTACATTAAATACAAGCCATCCTATGTATTGCCTATGGATGTCCAAATACTGAATGTCAAATCAGACGTACGGTCGTCGTCTATTTTATGTTCATGAACGTGTGGACGTAAAATGGACATGAAAAAAGATATTCATAGATCTTTTGCTATCTGGGAAATAGTCAAATAAAACGATTTTATTAATAGGTAGAGCTAAAGAGAGAGGCAGGGAATACTAGCACGCTCCCTAACTTACTTCTTCTTACAGAAGAACAAACTGATTACAAAAAAATTATATATTTACGGACTATGTTTAATAAACATTCGCAAGAAATTTTAAAAAATAAAATGGAGATAAAAAGTTATAACATTTTCTAAGAATTAAAGACAGAGAGAGAGAGAGAGAGTTATAAATTAAAATTTTTCTAGTTTGAAGAATCAGAATCATTTAAAACATTAAGAGAAAAATAAAATTAATTAGTAAATTAAATATGAGTAATTTCGTGATTTACTTTACTTTATTAATGAATTAAAAATAATAATATAAAACAAAACAAACAAAAAAGTTGAATAATTCTTATCAATCGATTAATCTCCACATAGATTCAAAAGTCTCAAATCTAATTTGGCCCTTCTCTCTAAACAAATTCTTGTTACACTCTTGTCTATATAATACATACATTCTTTATATATATTTTTTAATATCTCTTGCATATTTATACAATATTATAATAAATTTTCTCTGTATAATTTATTTTTGTATATATAACTTACCAAAAAGCTTTCGTCGTTTTCCTCCTCGTTTTCTTCCTCGTTTTCCTCCTCGTCTTGCTTCTCGTTTTCCTCGTTCAGGTTCTCTACCTGAAGATCTTCTTTGACGTTGTTATTAACATTTTCTTCTATATTATTTTGTGAGCTATTGTTAGGATCGTTGCCAGACTAAATAAAGAGAACACAGAAGGTTAAATTAATAAAAACTAACAACTACAATAATATTTTGTTAATAATTCATACATAAAATTATCAAGATATCGGTATAAAAATAATAAAATGTATACGTCCGCCTGACGTCTATTTGTCACAACTTCGGATTACGTACATTAAATACGAACTTCTGTATGTTACGGTCAAAGTCCGCGTAGTGGATAATGTTGGCATCACCGAGTTGCCTGCTGTACAATGTCAACATTACCCACTTGCGAACTTTGCATGTAACATACAAGTACATCCTATGAACGTCTAAAGAAAGGATATTCAAAATCGAATTTATGACAATGTTCATTTCATGTTTACGGATGTGCGAACATAAAATGAACATAAAAGGGGCATCCATACAATATCCTATGCTAATTGGATAATAGTACAATAAAGTTTTTCTTTATAATATGCGTAGGGGTATAGTCAAAGAGAGGGAGGGACGTAAGGAACCATGCCGTCTATAAATCTTAAAGAAAACAAAATAGTTAGAAAAAAATTATATATTTATGGTGTATGATTAAGAAACATATTCGTAAGAAATTAATATTGTAAGAAAAGAAAGTATCGAAGGTGATAGTTATAGAAAGATTTTCTGAGAATTGAAAACGATTAGTGTTATATTAAGTTTACCTAGTTATAACAATTAGTTTAAAACTTTAACAGAGAGTAAAGAAAAATAAAAGAAATAAAAAATAATTTATTTCTTTATGTCTCTCATTGACACTTATAGAACACAAACCGTTTCTGTTTTCGGTATTTCCTTGTTTTATACATATAACAGCTGATTTATATTTTTATAATTGCTAATTGTTTATTGCTCCTTTGGCTAAACGGAGTCCTGTTGATGTTTTTTTTATGGTTTGCCATCTGACTATTAAACCATGTGTTGGACGAGAATGATCAAGGATTACTCTATCGTTTAGATTTATGTAGGCCATAAGTTGTTTAAATTTGCATCGTTGTACATACACTGAGAATGGTCTGACGCAGTGCCGAAACGTATGAATAGACTTGATATTGCTTAAAGAAAAAAAAGTATTATATATCCCACATTGCGCACTCATTATATGACATAACTTTTATTAGCTTTTGTTTTATTACATTGTTATAAATTAGTAAATTATATATTATATGTGTGACTTTATGATTTACTTGTTAGTAATTAATTAAAAAAGATAGTATAAAGCAAAACAAATTTAATAGTACTATTCGTCTAATTTCCCTTTTCCCATGGGTTAAAAAGTCTAATTTAGTCCTTCTATAAGTTAAAATCAAAGCTTTGCGCGCACGCCCACATCTATAAAATATATATTTTCCAATGATTATTTCCATATGTGTAAGTTAGCAAAGAATATATAATTAGGCCCTGGTAGTGTCTAAAGACTTAAGGCATCTCATAAAACGCAAGAGATCTAAGTTTGGTCCCCGGCCGAGGTTATATTTTCCGCAATAAAATTGTTTATAGATATTAGGATGCTTATCAACATATTAAGATCAATCTAAGATAACTGTGAGCTTTTTAATATAATTAGATTGCTTGTCAATACTACTATTCTGGATCTGTTAGAATTACAAAACAGAAAATAAATTCAGCGTGCAGTTTGAGGGATTCGATGTGAGTATATAAACTTACATATTATTGAATTATTTTAGCACTAAAGTTCCAGCTTGACCATTTAATAGCTTTATTCATTGTGTACATAATATGGTTTTATAAGATACTTTGTAATATTTTGTACACATTCTTAGAATATTTTTTGCATATTTATGATACATATAACTTTCTCTGTATAATTTATTTTTATTTAACTTAATTAATTATATTTTATTTAAGCAAAAATTACGAATTCCTTTATCGTTATTAGTATTGATTTTTGCCGTTGCCGCCGCCAGCATTACCGCCGCCGTTATCATCGTCATCATCGTTGTCGTCGTCATCGTCGTCATTGTTGTTGTAATTTTCTTCTACATTATTCCGTAAGCTATTTTTAAGATCTCTGCCGAACTAATTAAAAGGAACATAGAAGATTAAATTAATTAGAATTCATTAAATATGTTAATTTAGCTAGTAATATTTAATGTAGGATTCACACTGCATCCGATGTGCGTTGTACGACGACTCTGCAACCAATCAGAAAAATCGTATCATCAATGCGAAGCAAAATCCTTTTTTCTGATTGGTTGCAGATTCGTCGTACGACGAAAATCGGATGCAGTGTGAATCCAGCATATTCGTAATTAAATGAAAAGGGGGGAGGCAAAAAGCCGCGTTCTTCCTAAATTTAAAAAAAAAATAAAATAATTAAAAAAATTTATACTTTATGGATTTTTCTTAATGAGCAGTCACAAGAAATTAATTCTGTGATGTAATAGAGAAGGAATAATCAAAGATAAATGTTATTGAAAGATTTTCCGAAGATCAAAAACTAGTGTTATAAATTTAAGTTTATCTAGTTTGAACAATCAGTTTAAAATAAAAAAAGTAAATTGTAGTACAAATGTGTGATTTCGTGTTTTACTTCCTAGCATTTAATTAAAAATAACAATAATACAGAACAAAGAAAATCTAATAGTCTATTCCATTTAAATAATTTCCTCTTCTCTGTTTAAATGTCTCAACTTAAAATTGTGGCTACGTTTATATCTATGTAATGCATTTTTTAAATGTTTATTTCTATATAATTTATGAGCAGTGATAGGGGGGGGGGAGTAAAATATTTTTTAAATCTATCTAAATATAGATACAAATACATGTTCGAAAATGTATTTATATATAGACAACATACATAGATACATATGGGAAAATGTGTTGTATATAGAGACTTTTTAAAAGTATTTTCAGATGCAAAGATATTTTTAAATTATATATTTTATATTATATTTTATTATAATAGTAATATTGAAAGAAACATACTAAATAAATTATTTATTAATCACTTTTGGTTTTATTGTTTAGAAGACAATTAAACCATAATATAATAATAATAATAAAGTAACTAAAAATCCCCTTGTATACATCATAATATAAATACACATATTCATCGGGAAACGTAAATACAGATCTACTATGTATTTAGTTAGTTTTGAATGTAGGGGAAGGGTGGGCAAAGCGGAAGGAGAAGGCAAAGCGGAAAATATATATGGCAGTAAATTTTTTTAAATACCTATTCCAATATCTGAACGTATAGCGGTCGGAACCTTAAGTATGAGTACGAGTCGCTATCTTATTTCGTAAGATAGTGATTTGTAAGGTCCCTCGAATATTTGATAAGTACATGATATTTTCCGTTTTGTCCTCTTCTTCCATTTTGCCCTTTTTTCTCCTATAGTACTCTTTTAAATGAGATATTTCGAGACAGGTGGATAGGTCGAGGAGGTCCTGTTCAATGGCTCTCTCGTTCACCTGATATTATACCTTTGGACTACTTTTTATGGGGATATATCAAAGAGAAAGTCACATCTCAGCCATTTATAATGAAAGAAGATTTAAAAGGAAGAATACGTACTGCTTGCCCTAAAGTGACTCCAAAAATGTTATTTAGAGTTAGGCAAAGTTTTTGTAAAAAGAATTAATAAGTGTTTAGATGTTAACGGTTAACAGTTCGAACATTTAATAAAATAAAAAAAAATAGAAAAACTATCTTATTTAAGTTATCATTAATTTCAATGCATTCTACATTAAAGTATAAATGTTCATAATTTTTGATAGAAGAAATGTTCGGACAAAATTTACTTGTTTTTCCCCGTAGAATCCAAATATGTAACATTTTATAAGGGATCCCATTTGAAACTTTGAAGTTACCTCCGCTTCTCTTCAAGGGGGGATTTTTGTTTACGTAGTTAGAAAGACCCCTCGAATATGTGAAACTTTCTTATGAACAACTTTTCGATAGAACAAATATTTTTAGAGTTATTATAGCTTGTAATATTTTACGTGGACCACCCATAAAAGTGAGGCATTTAAAACAGATTACCTGTTTATGAGTTATTACGAAAAATATTACTAAAATCTAGGTGGTTTAAAGGCTTATGACGCTCGCACGGAATGCAAGAGATCTGTGTTTGATCTTCGGCCAGAGATATATTTATCGTCACAAAATTATTTAGATTTTAGGATACTTATCTACATCAGAATTTTAGATTACTCTAAGAGCATCGATGCTTATGAGCATTAATATATATAATAATTAAATTACTTGTCAATATTTTGTTACTGCTCTAAATCTGTTAGAATTGCGTTTGATGATCGAAAATAGATTCGGCGCGCAGTTTGGGGAGATTGGATATGAATATATGAATTCACACAACATTATTTCAGCATTAAATCCAGCTTGACCGTTTAAAGTCTTCATCTTCGATACACAATAATATAAATTGTAACATTCAAACGAAATAATATGGGGTTAATCTGTGATATTTTTTATATACTTAGAATATTTCGCGCATATTTATAATACATATATATAATTTCCTATGTATTATTAATTTTTATACATTAACCTTACCAAAACATCACTAAACATTCCGTTATGCATGCCGTGGCTATTTTGGTTGTAGCTGTTGCCGGCGGCGTTGTCATCGTCGTCGTCGTCGTCGTCGTCGTCGTCGTCGTCGTCATCGTCATTATGGTGGTTGTATTTGTCGTTTTCTTCTACATTATTCCGTAAACTATTTTTAGAATCTCTGCCAGACTAATTAAAAAGGATATAGAAAAATTAATTAATTAAAATTCATTAATTATTAATTTAGCTAATAATATACAAAATTATCGAAGTTGATAAATAAATAATAAATTTTAATATGGCAGCCGAACGTTTGTTTGTCACAACTTCGAATTATATATTGAATATAGTCTATCTTGTGTACATACATCCTAACAACGTCCAAATAATGGATGTCTGATATTGAAGGACGATGTCTATTTTATTTCCATAAATGTGTAGACATAAAAAGGATATAAATGTCTAATGTCTACAATGTTCTGTGCTCTCTAGTATAATAAAACGTTTTTGTTAATGTGCGTAAGCAAAGTTTAAGAGGAAAGGCAGGGGATCATGCCTTTGCTAAATCTAAAGAAAAACAAAATAATTAGAAAAAAATTATACATTTACAAACTATGCTTAATCAGCAGTCACAAGAAATTAACTTTGTAAGAGAACAAAAATCAGAGATAAAAGTTGTACAATAGAAAGGTTTTCTGAAAATTCGAAACGACTAATATTATAAATTTATCTTGTTTGAATAATTAATTTAAAATTTTGAGAGAAAAATTAATTAAATTAGTAAATTAAATATGTACATATGTGATCGTCTAACAATTAATTAAAAATATCTGATAATTATTTGAAAATAATGATATAAACACATATAAAATAAATCTAATGGTCCACATCATTTGACTAATTTCTATTTTCTTCTAGAATTTTCAAAGAATTCGCAACTATAATCAATCATTTATGATCATAACATCGATACTTATAATATGAGCATCAATATAATATTATATTACTACTATTTAATATTACTACTCTAGGTTTGTTAAAATTGCGTTTGAAGATCGAAAATAAATTCGATGCATAGTTTGAAGGATTGGAGCATATAAATTCACATAGAATTATTTCAGAACTAAAACTCCAGCTTGACCAGACTTAGATCTTAGAGCCTTTATATTTTTGGTTTGTTGTGTATTCACATTAATGGTCCCATAAGAGACACTTTGTAATATTTTTTATACATTTTCAAGGTATTTATTGTTGCATATTTATAATCATATACAATTTTCCCTATATAATTTATTTTCATTTATTTAATCTTACCCGTAAAGTATGAATTCCGTTTTTGCCGTGGCCGTTTTGGTAATTGCCGTTGCTTCCGGTGTTGTCGTCGTCGTCATCGTCATTATTATCGTCGTCGTCGTCGTCATTGTTGTTGTATTTGTTGTTTTCTTTTACATTATTTCGTAAGCTATTTTCAGAATCTTTGCTAGACTTAATTAAAAAAGACATAAAAAATTAATTAATCAAAACCCATTAACTACCAAGGGTTAGCTAATAATATTTAGCTAATAATATTTTATATACGATATTATGGAGGTTGGTGATAATAAATAATAAATTTTATTACATTTGAGCATAAGAAATTAATTTAGTAAGAAAAGAAAGAATCGATTATAAAAGTTATAAAAAGCTACTCTAGAATCCAAAACGACACACTATTAGTTATAAATTTAAATTTAGTCTAGTTTAAACACAATCTGTTTAAAATTTTAGGGGAAAAATAAAGTATGTGATTTAGTAAATTTGTGTGATTTCGTAGTTTACTTGCTAATAATTAATAAGAAATAATAATGTAAAACAAAATAAGTTGAGTAGTTTATAGATATCATTCAATTAATTTCTTCCTCCCCGTGGGTTTATAAGTCTCAATATTTTTAACTCCCTTTTCAGTCAAAATCCTGGCTATGCCCATGCTATGTAATATATTTTTAAATTCTTATTTCCTTTTATATGAGTTATTGCGAAGAATATTACCAAGGTCTCTATGTGGTCTAAAAATACTTGCACTAAGTGCAATTATAGATTCGGGCTCAATCCCTGGCCGAAGTCATATTTTTCGCAATAAATTAATTTACAAATTTTAAGATACTTATTTGCATCAGATTATTAAGATCAATCTAAGATGGTTAATATAATTAAAAAAAATTGCTTGTTCATATTACCTCTTTAGAGACTTGTTAGAATTACTTTTATTACAACTGAGAATAGATTAGGCGTGCAAGATTGTATATGTGATATATATATGTATATATAAATTCACATAGAATTATTTCAGCATTAAAGGTCTAGCTTGACCGTTTAGGATAGGCCTGTCCAATTTGAGTTCCGGAACCAAAACGCAGAGTTATTGAAACGAAAAAAATTAATGAAGGTAAAGCTTACTTTAATCTTAATTTCGTGGACTGTAAAGTGTTAATAAGTGTCATTCAACGATACAATATGCGTATCAACACTGTACAGTCTCCGAAATATTACTCATATTGATTTTTTTTGCGTCGATGACCTTGCGATTTACCTCCGGAGCTCAAATTGGACTGGTTTAAAGGCCTTATTGTCGATTCGTTGTGTTGTCAAATTGCGGTCTTATAAGAAATACCTTGTTTTTACACATCCTTAGAACATTTCTTGCATATGTAAATATATATATTTATATATATTTCCTATGTATAATTTATTTTTACTCATTTAATCTTACCCATAAATCACGTATTCCGTTATTCCTGTTGCTGTTTTGATTGTTGCCGTTGTCGTCATCGTCATCGTCATCGTCATCGTCGTCGTTAACGTAGTCATTGTTATTGTTGTTATATTGTTTGTTGTTGAAATTGTTTTCTTCTATATTATTCAACATGCTATTTTTAGCAGCTCTGCCAAACTAATTAAAAAGAACATAGAAGATTAATTTAATAAAGACTCATTATCTGCCAACTTAGCTGATAATATTTAACTAATAATACTTATATACACAAAGTGTATTTCTTTCCGCACGCACACACGCACGCATATACAAATTAATAAATTTTTATAAATTCGGTCGATGTTGTTTTCCACATTTTCGGATTACATTAAATACTGACCATTCTCTATGTTTATCCTATAGGTATATACATCCAGTTAATAGATGTCCCAAATTGGACTTATAACGACATAAAATAGACGTTCGAAACATTTTGTGCTGCACAAGAAACGGTGTTATATGTATATTTATAAATTTTTAAAAAGTCAATTTTTTGATTTTGATACTTTCTTAAAGTATATATTCTCAAAAAAATATTCAAATCTATAAATTTCAAATGGATTTGAAAATTAACAAAGTTATGCAAATTTAAACATATATCAATTGAAACCATATAATAGTTTAAACGTTCGCATGTATATAATGGCAGCTACGTTGCACACAAAAGTAAATCTTTTCTACGATTATATGTTTTTTATACCAATACAATTTATATTTGTATTAGTAAATACACAAAATGCTTGATCAAAAATTATTTCGAGCTGTAATAAGACCGTAGAAATAGCTGCTTAAGCAGCTATAATTATATCGCTGCTGGTATATTTAACGAAGGTAATGCTGTAATTCTCAAAATGCTTTAAGCTATTGGAGTGAATAATGCCCTGAATGCTCATAGATATGTCAAAAAAGAAGACGCTGCGTGCATCAAAATTTCCTCCACTTTTGCGCACAGCAGAGGTTCAAGAGACAAGAGTACTTCGGCAACAAGTTCATCAAGTTAAAAGTTTGGAGGCTGCAACTGATTCAAACAATTTATTATATGGCCTTGGAGGGGGGGGGGAGGGAATAAACATACTCCGTATAATATACTTAATATAAATTAAAGATTTGTATTTTACTTGGTTATAAACTTGACTTGTAACTGTATTTCAAGTTTTTCAAAAAAAATTCCCGAAGAATGTGTTCTTATGGTCTTACAAATATAATCCTTTAATATACATAGTATAGTTAAAGGGTGGGGCAGAGAATCGTGCTGCTCTGCCTAAATCTTCAAAAATAAAAAAATTAAACATTTACGGACTATACTTATCGAACATTTACAAGGAATTAATATTGGAAAAGAAGAAAGAATTAATTAGTGATGAAAGTTATAAAAAAAGATTTTCTTTAGAATCGAGAACGGTTAGTGTTATAAATAATTTTTTCTGTTAAAAGATGTTTAAGAGATGACAATTTTAAGACAATTTTAGAAGAAAAATAAAGTTAATTAATAAATTAAATACGTGCGATATTGTGATTTACTTGCTAGTAATTAATTAAAAATAATAATATAAAACACAAAACAAATCTAATATAATCTATTATACCATTTATCTAATTTCCATTTATCTCTAGGTTCAAAGGTCTCAATTCTAATTTGATCTCTCTCCCTAAACGAAATTCTGTCTACATTCATATAATATTTTATACTTTTTTTAGAATATTTCTTGTATGTTTATTATAGATACAATTTTTTTTGTATAATTTCTTTTTATATAAATAACTTACCGAAATTCCATTGCCACCGCTATTGTCGTCATCGCCATCGCTGCCGTTCGCATTGTCGTCGCCGCCGTTCGCGTTGTCGTCGCCGCCGTTCGCGTTGTCGTCGCCACCATTCGCGTTGTCGCCGCAGCCGTTCGCATTATCGACTTCGCTATTCGCGTTGTCGTCGCCATTGTCATCATCGTCGTTATTGTTGTTGTCATCGTTTCCTTCTATATTCTGCCAACCTCTTGGTTCACTATCTTTGCTAAACTAATTAAAAACACCATAGAAGATTTAATTAATAAAAACTTATTAATTGCTAATAGATAGTATTGTATATTAATAATGTTATTAAATATAATATTAGTATTAAATATAATAATATTTAACAATTAAAAACTAGGGTTAATTCTTAGCCCTTTTTATCATTTGTAATTGTTTTATTCAATTGAGCCTAATATGTTATCCCTAATTAATGTTCATGCATTGAGCGGTGCATACTGACATCCATGATTTCTGTACATGATTTTTATGCATGATTTCAAGCTTGTTTCCTTGCATGCATCAATCAAAAGATTAAAAATGGTCACGTAATTGGGCAGACGATCGACAGCATCTTCAGAATAGAAACAATTGTGCTAATTTCGTAGCTATCTATCAAACGTTTCGTAACTATCTGTTATTTGTTTTTTATATTAGTAAATTTTAATTATAAACTTCGCAAATGACATCTAGTGCAGCTTAAAATTTAAGCCTTAAATAATCAAATTTGTTATTTTAGATTTAAAAGTACTGTTCCTTTTTTTGGATTGGAACAGGAAGACCTTCAATAAGAATATATAAAAAGAACGATAACATATCGCTTAGGTTTTATCACATATAAATTAATAAAGGTAGTTTAATTTACCAAAAAATTATGGATTTTATATCCATCAATAATGTCAGGAATGTCGGGAGTATCGGGAATGATGTCATCATCAATATTGATGCCGTTTTCAGTTGTGTGATCGTCGTCGTCATTGTCGCGTTTGATATTAACGTCATCGGTTTCTTCTATATTGTTTCGTAATCTATTTCTAAGATTTCTGCTGAACTAATTAAAAACATCATATAAAAGGTTAAATTAATAAGAACTCATTAAGGAGATGCTGGAGCTGCCTGTATTATATAGGATAAAACTAGAGCTTTTGATGTTTTCGTTCTTGTCCAATTTTTTCATAATATAGTTTCACAAAAGAAAAATTCCTTTTCCACGATTAAAATATACATGTTAATGTACTGAGCGGCGTATTTCATGTCTAAAACTGGAAAAAATAAAAATTACAGATTTCTTTGTCCATTTTATCTCAGTACGGCAAACAACGCTGAAAGTAGAAATGGATAAATAAAATTGTAATTTTTTATTTATAAGTAGCTCCACCATTCCCTTAATTGTCAATTAGTTAATATTATCTAATAATATTTTATGTAAATTTATCAAAGTTGATATATATATAATCAATTTTAATAAGTAAGCCTATTAATTTCTTCGTCTTGTAAATTATTTTTTATTGTTTATTTTATATAAGACATTTTTTTCAAATCGTTTGCTTTGAAAATATTTTATTAGTTCTATACTTTTAATGCATTCTATATATATATATATATACATATATTACCCCAGCTAATGCTAACCTAATAAATATTTATAAAAATTTCTAAAATTCTAAAATGACATTCTAAAAGTATTTCAAAATATCCCAAAATTTTTACGGAATGTAGAAGCAACATTTAAATTTAAATAATAGTTGAAAATTCCATGTACACATTGTTACATATTTGGAGAATATTCTATATATATTTTGCAAAACAATTTTTCTAGAAATTCCAGGTCCAAAGATTCCTGAATTAATTTTTACATGAAATTATGCTGTCAAAAACAAATTTCTTTTACTTTCACTTTATACCTCAATTTTGAGATTTACTTTACAAATGAAATACTACGTTCTTTATATTCTTCTCAATAATTCTTCATTTTCTTCTTTTTTTCCTATTAATAGATTTCTGATATTAAAGTAGATCACAGTATCACGAATACAATGGCCCGAAAACCTAGTTAAATTTCTACAGAGATATAGCATCACTTCTTCAATGCATCTTGACAATAATAAAACGGAATTTCATCAAAAGTCGAACGATTATCACAATAACTTGGGGGGTAAAGCAAAGTTTGTGATTCTTATTTATGAATATGAAAGATAATCATGATTGACTCGTATGATTTTTAAAATCATAGAAAGTGTAAAGCCTAATCGAGTCTTGAAAACTGGATGTTAATGTTTATTTTATTATGTGAATTTATATAGTGCGTATGTAGTCCCCCCTCGCGACGCTGATAGATTTTCAGCCTTGACGCATACATATTCACTACCACAGTAATATCACTTAGTTAAATTGAGAATCAATTTAACCAATTTTTTGATGCCTATAGCATCATATTAGATCTTAATAATATGTTGAAAGACATATATTAAAATTTAATATTAAAGTAATAATTTAAACTCAGAGAAGCTGAGATTGTGAAGAATATCACGAGTTGGCGTTTCGTCCCGGCTTCTTATTATTTATGAGTTAATTCATCTTCCTTCAAAGGCTTTCTATCGGCAGGGATGTATATTGAAACGGTAAGTGATTTTAGCAGAGTCGGGAGGCGTTACTTTTTTCGTTACTTTTTATAATAAACGTGACGTTGCAATTTTTTAAACTAAACGTTAAGGTAGTGTTAAGGTTGGAAAAGTCGACATTTCCAATCTCAGTACTACCTTAATGTTTAGTTATAAAAAATTACAACATTATGTTTATTATAAAAATAACGAAAAAAGTATAACGTTTAATTCTCAACTCTGGATTTTAATGATATATGTGTATACAAGAAGCGTTTATTCAAATATTTCATTAATATTTGAATATTTTATGAACATTTTTTTGCTATTTCAAAATATTTAGCAAATTAAGACTACATAAAAAAAAATTATTACCAATTTAAAACTAACGTATTCTTTTTAATGTTGTTATTGTTTTCTATGTAAGCAACACACAATATAGTATTTTTTAAAGAATTCGATAAAAAAATTTTAATATCAATGCTATAATAGTTATCTAAAAAGTACAATATGATTATTTTGATAGTAACGGTATTTTTTTACATTTAAAATATAAAAAGAATTATGTAAGAGAATCATATGAAGAAGATTATCTTTTCTCTATTGTATCTTTATACGTGTCAAACATAAAATTATTTAAAATATGATATATTATGATGTTAGAACAAAAACTTTTTCAATTTTTACTAACTTTTTTTTGACACTACTGCAAGATTAATAAACATTAATTTTTTTTGAAATATTTAGAAAACTTTTTGTATACTTGATAATATATATAACGTCATGTATATTATCATGTATAAAAAAAGTTTTACTTGAAAGATTTGTAACGTCACATCGAATTGATATCGATTCCATTGCCATTTCTTTCTAGAACATCTCTTTATAGGATTTTTGGGCGTGTTTTCTTATAAGTAGTTCATCCATTTTGGACAACGTATGAGACGAATGAGCTTATTTTTAATAAAACAATTTAATAGTATTTATTGATTTATTTTAAGACATAATTAAACAAAAATGATTTAGTTTTAATTTAAAGAAATTCTGATTCTCGATTTGAATATATATTACTTTTTATCTGATATTTTTTTCCTCTTACAAATTATTATTGAATAAAGAGAAAATATTGTTACAGATTTAATTATATAAAATTTCTTTATTTAAGCGAGCTATATGTTGATTTAGTGCTATGCAATCTAATTTCAAGAATATTTATGTTTTAAAAATACTTATATATTTTGAAAATATAGATATATTCTTTAAAATAAGAATATTCTTTTTTTCTATATATAAATTAAATTTTTTTATGATTAGCGATAGCTAAAATACACTATTAAAAGATAATCTATTTTTACTTTTAATACGTTTTTGATAAGTTTTCGATTTTCTACTTACGAGAGGATTCTGCAAGTCTCTTTCTACTTCATATGGTTTTGCTTCAACAGGCTAATAAAAACGATGTAATGATTAAAATTATTTTTATTATAAAGAATTGAGACTATTAAGATATGTGAAATTAAGGGTGAATACTTACTGTTCTTTCAAAAATGCTTCCAATAACAGTCAAAATTATTAACGTATATAACGTCCGCATTGTCATAGTCAAACGTAACACGATTTATAGAATTAATATTTTCAGTGTGCGAAAATATTAATTTTCTGCAAAGTAATATTCTTCTACTTCCAGTATAAAACCAGCTCATGAGTAAATTTCAGAAAAATATTTGGCGTTTAACATACTGAAAAGTTCCTTTTAAAGGAATGCCGTATCTTATCATTTGAAAATTGAGTTAAAATTGGAGGGAGGCACAGTTGTTTTTGCAAATTCTTAAAAGCAGTCATTTTTGTTATCGAGAGTGAGTATTGCGCATGTGTACTCAGAAAACATTTATGTTGCGTAAGATATTTAAAGAAACGTCTTTTAGATGTCTCATGCCTAAAAGACGTCTTTTAGATATCTTATGTAATATGAATGTTATCTGGGTATAAATATAGGGTGAATTTCGTTTCACGCATAATGCACAATGCATAATTTATCTTTATTTGACATTCGGTGAACAAACAATAAGGATAAATGATGCATCATGCGTATCATGTGCGAAACGGAATGCACCCGTACATATATTAGCACTCAAAAAGTATTTTGTAAGTGACATTTCTATTATCTGTGTACGTTAATCTGATGCAAACATAGATGGTGTTACTGAAAGGAAAAAATAGAATTTGATTTATGCTACTGAAATTGTATATTAAAAAGTTATTTCCTTATTTCTCAACAAACAGCTATAACGAGGTGAATTATAAGTATTTTGTATTGCCAATAATTAGTACGAATAGCAAGTATACAAATGCAATTAAAAAATATATATTTTGGCATTTGTTTATCTAAGTTCAACAGTGCCACATACAGAGCATCCAATAAAATTGAAAGAGTCTGTTTCAAAGAAACTCAGTTTATAATTGCAAACCGTTTTACGCGGGATCTACAATAGAAGTCATAGTGGTCGTACCAATTATAGTCGGATATGGAAAGAATAATCGACTATGATTGGTATATTTTTTACGACTTTTTTAAGATCCTATGACTGCTACTTCTATTTTACGACTTCTATTTTAGGCCCTGTATAAGTTCTGTCTCAACAACTTGTAAATGTCTGGTGTAAAAAAGAAAAATTATTTGGAAATATTAACATAAACATTAAACCACGCGATGGTTGACTACGCAAGAATGAATAAAATCATTCGAATAAGATCTAGTGCTGATCCGCATAGATTAGCCAAGGAAATAGAAAATGATTTAAAAGGCAATTTTATTTGTAAGCTACATGTTTCAAAACTGTAAAATGTCGCTTGGCAACTGTAGATTTAAATAAGAAGAGCCGATTTAAGAAGTCAATGATTAGCATAAAAAGTTAAAAGGCTATGATTGCATTTGCAAAAAGAAATATTTGGCCTAGATAAAAGACGATTTATAATTCGCTTAAGTTCTATGAAGTAATGAGAGCAAGTTCAACCTTTTTTTCTCGAATGATATACAATATGTTCGTCGTTCTAAAAATAAAAGTAATAATGTTTATGTTTAGTATTAAGTACCCATAGTAAAGCATTATGAAGGTATAGTGTAATAGTCTGGAGATGTTTTTCAAGAAATGAGACAGATTCCTTATAATTTTAATAGAGACAACAATAAACAATCGATTCGCTTATTGAGACATTTTGAAGGAACAAAGAAGAAAATGCCTAAAGGATGGATGTTTCAGATAACAATCCAAAGCTCTCTTCTCTACTTGTGAAAGACTTTTTGAAACAAAACAAAATTAATGTTTTGGAATTATAGTTTAGCCAAAGTCCGTATTTCAATTCCATAAAATTTCTTTGGACAAAGGGCGACACGTTTTTTCAAAATTTTTTAATAGAGACAAGATTTGCACTTTGTTTTGCAAGAAGAATGGTTAAAGATTCCGAACAATCATATAAAGAAGCTCGTGGGCTCATTGCTCCATATATGCAAGTGCCTATAAAATCAAAAGGTTACATTACAAAATATTAACCCTTAAGTAGACACGTGGGGTCAAAGCCACTTTAATTGTTAAAAAAATACAGAACATATTTGTTTTTGACACAATTCCTTCCTGCTTTCTGTCGCTTTCTATTTTAGGACGTAATTTTGAATATAATAGTAATTGCGCCGTTACACCGTGTAATAAAAACTATTAAAAAGTATCCCTTTTAGCGCTCTAAATGTAAAAAATGTATTTTTAGGGAGCACAATTAGTATTTATGTATTGAATGTGATATTAGCGATTCTTCAGAATAATGGTTTTTATATTATTTTTCAAATTTTTTCAAAAGGATTGATCTCAAGTAATTCGAATATGTATATGTAAGAAGAATACTTTTTTTCTTAATAATGTTAAGAGAATTTATTTTTTTTGTAAAAGAAAGTTGATTATCAAACTGATAAATAAATATGGATTATCAAACTGATTTATTTTTATTTTTAAATATTTCTTTTGGTTGACTTAAATTAAAAAAAAAAGTTAGGGTATTGCTGATGATTCCATGCGCCCACTTGTGTGATTTTACTTGTGCGTTTAAGAATTATGTAAGTCTCTTACATCTATTTCACAATTATTTTAATATTTTTTAAATTGTAGACATAATATATTTGTTTTTTTTTT